CTGCCAGAGCTAGAATTTTCATCTTATTTTTCGAGTTTCCCAGCAGTGCTGGTGCTGCAATAACGCAGATTTTTTTTTTATATCACTGGAATAAGCTTGCCGAAGCAATCATCCTCCGATGGGAATTTTTTGCAGACGAAGTGATTGATGGCAAATTGGACGATCATTTCCCGTTGGTGGTTTGGCAGACTGGGTCGGGGACGCAGTCGAACATGAACGTCAACGAAGTGATTTCGAATCGTGCAATCGAAATGCTGGGCGGCGAGCTCGGTTCCAAGAAGCCTGTGCATCCGAACGATCATGTCAACATGTCACAATCCTCCAATGACACTTATCCAACAGCCATGCATATTGCTGTTGCGAGGTTTTGACGTTTGCCTTTCCATTTTCGTGTATTTTCCACTTTTGAAGTAATATGATGTAATGGTGGGCTTTGTGTATTGAAATTTAACTTTCTACTGAGTTATGTAGTAATTGGCAGCTTCCATCCCTCGCCCCCTCCCACCCCTTCCCTCCTCCTACTTCTGCCTTTTCAGGCCTTTTGCAGTATCTTTGGTGTGATAAATTTTTTTTTGACTAGGCTTGAAAGAGTCTCGTATTGGGGTAGCATCACTAGCAAGGCCGTAAACAACCACTTGACAATTTTGCCCTCTTCGGCGCTTCTTGAACCGTCCAATTTTGGTTCGGCCTTCTATGGCCCCACTACCCTATGCCCACACTGATAGCCCGAGTGGTCTTGGTATTCTTGGTACTTCTAGTTCTACATCTGTGCAGTTAGCGACTTTCTCAGATGCTTTTGCCGATACTGCACCACCTACTGATTACCGGTTTTTGGCAGAAGCACATGTTAGCTTTTGATTAGCTCTTAGTATACTTTACTGCCTGTACTCGAACGTTGCCCCATCTGAGCCACTATGATGGTGTTACTTATTGTTTAGGAGGATATTTTATTTTTTGCAAAACGTTCAGTGCTGTGGTTCATTTCAGAGAGATTAATTCACGATTGCTTCCGGCGCTCAAACAGTTGCGCGATTCCCTGCATCGAAAAGCAACTGAATTTGAGAGTATCATAAAAATTGGCCGTACCCATACACAGGATGCTGTACCACTCACACTGGGCCAGGAATTTAGTGGATACGTTCAGCAGGTCGGCCTCTTTTCACACTGCCATTGAATTGGTAAAAATTTGCTAGGCAGGCTTAAAATGAAATGAAGAAGCTTGAAATATAAACTAAAATGGAGCGATAGAATCTGTTTTCTGATCAAAAAATTGTCTGCGAGTGGTTGCTGTTGGCAGTGAACTCCTATTCGAGCTGTTGCTGAATTCTTTGTTCATCTATAGTTGAGTGTGATGGTATTAGA